TTTGGGGTGTGGGGGGGGGGGGGTCAACAGTGGGAGGGCTTCTAATGTCCTGACCCCACTGGTGGACCTCCTGATGTCACTGGTATTTTTGGCCACTGTGTGACACAGAGTGTTGGACTGGATGGGCCTTTGGCCTGATCCAACATTGGCATCTCTTATGTTCTTGAACCTCAGTCTTCTCACATCAAACAGCAGGACAACTATGCCCCCAGGTCAATTAGCCTACCTCTGTACTTCCAAGGTAGAACATGCACGCACAGGAAAAATGTACATGATCGTGACCGGGATACGTCACTAGTATTTGACCAGAGGGAGCCAGCGCGGTGTCTTGGTTAAGAGCGACAGACCCTAATCTGGAGAACCAGGTTCAATTCCCCACTCCTCCACATGAAGCGCTGGGTGACCTCGGGTCAGTCACAGCTCTTTCAGCTCTCTCTAACCCCCCCCCCCCAAAAAATAAGTCTAGCTTGCCACCTTAGTGGTGCAGAACGCTAAAGGGCTAGAACTTAAGGCTGCCAGACAATCTTCGGATCTCCTGGCTACCCTACACTCATTGCCATATGATAATTAATTAATTCCGCTTGTTAAATGAGAAAAAGGGAAAGAAGATGTCCAGTCCAAGTCACTCACCCAACCACCCTCTGCGATTCCCCGCAAAGCACGTCCTGACAAGGTTGTTGTCTGCCGACAGTTTTAAAATCCCTCCCCGAAGACCTGCCTCTCCAGGACTAACTGACATTCCTCCTGCCTTCGACATTCTAGGCTAGGGGTGTTAAGCATGTGGCCTGGGGGGCAGATCAGGCCCCCGCAGGGCTTCCATCAGGCCCGCAGTGGAACTGGCCGTCTCCTGCTTCCAGTTCTGCTGCAGCTGCTGCAGCATCATAGCTTGCTTCGCCAGACCCTCTTAACCGCTCAGCCATTTCATGTTCTAACCTGGGTCCTAGACGCAGAACTCTGAGCGTGAGATTTCTGTGGTGAATGCCAATAAATCAAAAGTAGGTTTGCAGCTTACAGAGCTAATGTTTTAAGCATGTTTCTATTTTAAGTTTAAAAAATCTTTGTGTTTGTGTCCTTTATAAAGTTTATATCGCCGCTACCTGGTCATTACATTTTATGACACGCCCGGCCCGGCCCAACAAGGTCTCCCTTTATGTCAGATCCGGCCCTCATAACAAATGAGTTCAACACCCCTGTTCCAGTTATAAGACCACCCACGGCCCTGTAGCAAAAACCCAAGACTGAGTATTTCAAGTTGAGGGCCCTGGAACACTGCACCTTGAAGGGCACAGTTCAGCCTCCTCAGCCACGGATTCTAAAGAGAATGCTTCTGGCTGAGCCGTCTGATGCTGGCTCTGCTTTTCACCCACCGTGGGAAACCGGAAGCGCTTCAGCCCTTGCGTTTTCTGGTAGTGGAGGACCCGGTTGGTTGCGCTGTCCATGGCAAGGATGACGTCGTCCTCTTGACATCTGGCCCGGTGACCAGTTGAGGACTCTTTGAAAATCATCGTCATCACGGACACGTTCTTCTCCGCTTTACGCCGCGCCCTGAGCGGGAAGGAAGAACAAGGAGAGATTTAACAGAGGTGATGTATAAGAAGAGGAGTTGGTTTTTATACCCCGCTTTTCGCTCCCCGAAGGAATCCCAGAGAGGCTTACAATCTCCTTTCCCTCCCCCTCCCCACAACAGACACCCTGTGAGGTCGGTGGGGCTGAGGGAGCTCTGAGAGAACTGTGACTGACCCAAGATCCACCCAGCAAGAGTCCAGTACCACCCCAAAGATGAACAAATTTTGCAGTGGCTCACGAAACCTCATACCTCCACCACAAATTTTGTCTGTCTTTAAGGTGCTACTGGACTCTTGCTCTTTTCTACGATTCCAACCGGACCGTCTATTTCCATATGCCCCCGTGCGCCAACTATGGTCCTCAGGCAGCCATCTGCTGGGCCAATGTTCCCTCTAAGTTGAGGAGACTTGTGAGCAAAAATTCTACTTTGTGAGCTACTGGCATTAAACTTCTGAGCGAGCAATTTGGCTGCTGCATTAAATCAGTGTGCTCTGGAGCCATCCTTCCTGAGCTGAGAAAAAAATCTGTGAGCCAGAGGCTAAAAAACTGTAAGCTAGCTCACACTAAATCAGCTTAGAGGGAACACTGCTGCTGGCTATCCCCACTGCTTAGGGAGGCCCATCTGGCATTGACCAGAGGACGGGGCCTTTTCCACCGTGTCTCTGGCTCTGTGAAACAGGTTCCCTGGAGAAGTGAAGGGGGGACACCTCCCTGGAGGTCTTCGGGAGGTGCTGCAAGGCCGGCTTTTTTGAGGGGGTCTGAATGACACCGAACCGAAAAAGGGGAAAAAAGACGCCAAGCAACAGTTTTATTGACATACAAGACCTCTGTGAGCCAGTTTAGTACAGTGCAGGGGTGGCCAAAGCTGCAGCTCGGGAGCTGCATGTGGCTCTTTCACACAGTCTAATTTAATGTTTATAAAAAGCAGATATGTATATCTTTCAATAAAAACGTGTGTAATCTTTGTTCATGTCTTGCGGCTCTCAAACATCTGACATTTATTCTGTGTGGCTGCTACGTTAAGCAAGTTCGGCCACCCCTGGTATAGTGCTTAGGAGCAGCAGGCTCTAATCTGGGAGAACTGGGTTCGACTCCCCACTCCTCCACATGCAGCTGCTGGGTGACCTTGGGTCAGTCACAAATTCTCTCAGAGCTGCTCTCTAAAGAGCAGTCATCGAAAGAGCTCTCTCAGCCCCACTTACCTCACAGGAAGGCTGTTGTGGGGAGAAGAAGGAGATTGTAAGGCGCTGAGACCTGGAGTGAAGGGCGGGGTATAAATCCAATCTCCTCTTCTTCTTCTCTATGTGTTTCACATAATGAGCTGCATACAAGCTTCCACAGCTGCAGAAAAGTTCAGAGCAAAGTGAACTCTCTGATCTCTCAACAAAGCTGGAACTGCTAAACGCGCAGGGGCTTTTTGTATGACAATAAATCTGTCACCTTTTTTCTTTCTTTGCTTTGCTTTGCTGGCACATTGCTCGGTGTAACCCTATTTTTCCTTCTCTTTCGGTCTCAATGGTAGGCATCTTTCAAGGGAAAGATTTGGGGTTTGCCACTTTACTTCTTTGCTTTGCTATTAACTATTATTATAAGCCTTCAGATTTAACATCCAAGTTCTGCTATTAAGCTTCCACATATAATGCAACAACCTCTGACAGATTTCGAATGCCTTATTAAAGTATCGTTTTGATTTTTAAAAAGCTTAGTTTCACACATTTATGGGATTCTTTTGGGGCAAGGCTTAAAGAAACCTTTAATGTATCAATCCCTTTGGAACAAAGAATGTGGCCGCAAACTATCAGGTGATATTTGGTCCTCCATTTGGGCCACATCTCCTTTCCGTTCCAAAATTATAGGCGTATGCATGAACTCCTTTAGATTAACTTTGCGCTGGTATCTCACCCCTAAAAAATTAGCTCACACTCCCAAAGCATCTAGCCCAAAATGTTGGGGAAATTGTGGAGAAAGAGGAAGATATCTTCATTGTTGGATCTCCTGCCCCAAGATTGCCCCCTTTTGGGACTCTATTCTAATAAAGGTTAAATCTGTTACTCCTATGCCAGAGCATTTGCGCTTGGGAGACTGGCTTTACGTGCTCATATTCAATTAGAGAAAGGGTGTCTCTATGAATATATGCAGCAAGAAACACTACTGCCCAAGCCTGGAAATCATCACAACCAACTACAATCTCTCAGTGGCATCAAAAACTTTGGAAATTATACATCACACGAAGCTCACAGATAATCTGGATAGCATTCTTAAGCCCTCTAGACCGCCCTATTTCTCCTCTATATGGCTACCTATACTGGAATACTTGTTGCCTCAAGGGGAAATTCCCCAATTGGTAGTTGACCTTGGAATATAATGTTTTTATTTCTTACTAAGTGATTACACAGCTGTAATTCAATATAGAACTAACAAAACTGAGGGGTTACAGCTAGTGTAGAGAACCAAAACTATAGACGCTGTAATGATGTACAAAACGCTTCTAATCTCACAATAATGATACAAAAATAAACAGTCAAATTGAAAAATATTAATTCTGAACAGGTATCAGAAAGATAGATGAACTTCTCCGGAGTTCTGGCATTCGTTTCGTGAAGAACTTCTTCCAAACATCAAAATGTGATAGTGTTGCTTCTTATTCCATAATGTGTAAATCCAATGCAAAGGGACCCACTACAGCCAAAACCTCTGTGTGCATGGCTACAGAGGAAAGGCCAGGAGAGCAACCCCCCTGGCGACTCCAAGGTGGGCGGGCCAGGGGGGGCCTGGCCCGCCCACCTTACATGCCTCCCCTTGCCTTCCTCAGCCTGTCCAAGGGCCGGCTTGCCTGGGTTCCCCGCAGCCGTAGGGCGCCCGGGCAAGCCAAAGGAAGGCATGGGGGTGTGGCCTAATATGCTAATGAGCTGCACCGTCGGGGCGGTCTAATATGCTAATGTGTCTCTGCTGTTGGGTGTGGCCTATTATGCTAATGAGTTCCTGCTGGGCTTTTTCTACAAAAAAAAGCCCTGACTGTATGTATTCTATTCTATTCGATCACACTGTATGTATGGTGTTGCTTGTTTGTTATTTCTCGATAAAATGTTAATTGTAATTTTTTAAAGAAAACCTATTATTATTGCCAGGGCTCTAGTCGGGGGGGAGCTCTCAGGTACGGAGCTCCGGAAGAGAACCTCTAGGGGGCGGGGCGGTCACGTGGTGAAGCCCCGCCCCCTTCTTTACCCCGCCCTCTGCTTCGATCCTCATTCCGTTTGGGAATGAGGATGAAGCAGGAGGGTAAGTAGCCGGGCCTTCTGACACACTTCCGGTGATGTCAGGGGGCGTGGCATATGCAAATAAGTTATGCTAATGAGTTATGCTAATGAGCTCCGGCAGCTCTTTTTCTACAACAAGACCCCTGATTATTGCGCTAAAAGGAAAGGTGGGATAGAAACATTGCAATAAGTAAAAGAAATAAACAGGACGTTCCGAAGGCGAGGCAGTTGCCCCCCTCCTGGACACCAACCTGTGCTCCTGCAAAGCTTTGGAAAGGTTAATATTGGACACCACGTCTCCTGTGACGAGGACGAAGTCGGAGCGGACGAGAGACTTTGCATCCACGTCCCTTAGGACGTCCCCAAGGGAGCGGTAGAGATCCGAGGTCACGAACCGCACCGTGTTTGGACAAGTCGGACGGCACCACTTGGATTTCCTGGCAAAGAACATGGGTGGAAAAGGATTACGTTACTTATTTACGTTAATGCTAAAGCCGGAAGGGTAGGAGGGTGGAAATAATTTAATACTTAGATTGGCTAACGTGTTTTACGTTTGCGCTCACGTTGGCCACTCTTCGTTTCAAATATATTTACAAGGTTTGTGAGTCATCTCCCCACTGTGTCCTCTACTGGTGTAAAGCTGGTTTAGAGCTATACTTTATTTACTCATGCTTAAGGACTGCCTACCAATGCTCCCTCTAAGCTGCGGAGTCCTGTGAGCAAAAATTCTGCTTTGTGAGTTTAAAGTTGGCCAGGCATGTTGACATTAAACATGGCCAGGGTCCGGCATACTTGAGGGACCACCTTTCCCCATACAGGCCCAATAGAGCACTTCGGTCGGGGTCACAACACCACCTAGTGACCCCGGGCCCTAAAGAGGCCAGGCTTGCTGCCACAAGGGCCAGGTCCTTTTCAGTGGCAGCTCCTACCTGGTGGAATGAGCTCCCGGAAGAGATCAGGGCCCTGCGGGACCTTTTACGGTTCCGCAGGGCCTGCAAGACGGAGCTCTTCCGCCAGGCTTTTGAGTAGGAGCCACCACCGCCACCATCACCACCATCGTGCAACTGCAGAGCAGTTCCACCGGGTTGGGCTGATTAGCCACCCGGAACATCTTGGCCCATGGCATCCCCTTTTTTCGATCTCACTGTATATACAATAGTGAGTGAGTATTTTAGTCGCTGATGTATCCTGTAAGATGTGAATTTTTGTCTTAAGTGTCTAACCTGTTTTATTTTTACTGCACTTTGGTGCCTTAACTGTTTTCATCTTGTTGTATTTTATTACACTGTTGTGCCTATGTAAACCGCCCTGAGCCCGCGTGCGGGGAGGGCGGGGTATAAATGAAATAAAATAAATAAAAATAAAGTTGTGAGCAGGTGATTTGGCTACTGCATAAATTAGTTTGCTCTGGAGCCCTCCTTCCTGAGCTAAGACAAAAATGTGTGAGCCGGAGGCTAAAAAACTGTGAGCTAGCTTAGAGGGAACACTGCTGCCTACATATCTGCTTGTATTATTTCCTGTACCCATCTTACTGAGGATCTTGTAAAGGTAAAGGTTCCCTTGCTCAAAAGCCAGTCGAGTCCGACTCTAGGGTTGCGGTGCTCATCTCCGTTTCAAAGCCGAAGAGACAGCGCTGTCCGAAGACATTTCCGTGGTCATGTGGCCGGCATGACTAAACACCGAGGTGCACGGAACACTGTTCCCTTCCCACCGAAGTGGTACCTATTTATCTACTTGCAATTTCTTGCTTTCGAACTGCTAGGTTGGCAGGAGCTGGAACTAGAGACGGGAGCTCACTCCGTCATGCGGCACACCCGGGTCTCGAACTGCTGAACTACCGACCTTCCACAGCTTGCAGTTCAGCGTCTTAACCACTCGAGCCACCGCAGCTCCACTCCTTAAACCGTGGTCACCTGTAATATAAGATTTCAGTGGACTGACTACCACTGGCCTGTAGCAACATCCATCTACCTGTGATCAGCAAGAGCAGCTAACCTCAAATAAAGCTTAGAGGGACTGGGGGGGGGGATGGAAGAGAGGGTGCTCCTTATTTGGGGTTTTTTAAAAAACTGTGTCTGCTCTTACTGTAAATGTTCCTTGATCTCCGCCGACTTCCAGCAGCAAAAGACAAACGTTTCCTCCACTCCCGTTGCCGTTAGAAATTCCAGGGCATAGTCGATCATGGCCACATTTGCTAGAGGAATCAGAGCCTACGGAAGCAGGGAGAAGATAGGTAAAGGTCGAGGTTTCCCTTGCTCGAAACCCAGTCGAATCCAACTCTAGGGATGTGGTGCTCATCTCCGTTTCAAAGCCGAAGAGCCAGCGCTGTCTGAAGACGATTCCGTGGCTGGCATGACTAAACACCAAGACGCACGGAACGCTGTTACCTTCCCACTGAAGTGGTACCTATTTATCTACTTGCAATTTCTTGCTTTCGAACTTCTAGGTTGGCAGGAGCTGGAACTAGAGATGGGAGCTCACTCCGTCATGCGGCACACTCAGGCCTCGAACTGCTGAACTACCGACCTTCCACAGCCTGCAGTTCAGCGTCTTAACCACTTGAGCCACCGCAACATCTTCCATACCAAGAGTAATTCCATTGGAAGTCATGGATCATACAAATGCCTCCCTGGTAGCAACCAGTCAAGATCTAAAAGGGCTTTTCTCTTAACCACGTCTGAAGACATTTCCATGGTCATGTGGCCGGCATGACTAGACGCCGAGGCGCACGGAACGCTGTTACCTTCCCACCGAAGCGGTACCTATTTATCTACTTGCAGTTTCTTGCTTTCGAACTGCTAGGTTGGCAGGAGCTGGGGCCAGAGAGGGGAGCTCACTCCGTCATGCGGCACTCGGGTCTCAAACTGCCCAACTACAGACCTTCCAGTCTGCAGCTCAGCGTCTTACCCACCTGAGCCACCGCAGATACCAAGACAAAAATGCCGTATTTCACTGATCCTGCAAGCAACACGTCCAAAATCCACGAAAACCTGCAAGAAAAAGTCAACCACCCACGTTTACTGAGCCCATGCCGCTATATTGTTTCTGGACCCTTTTGTTAGAATAACATTTGCTTTTCTCT